CTGAAAAAACAAAGTTGTTTCTGAGGTAAAGCCCAAAGAGGAGCAGCCAAAGGCTCCTTTTCCCCTCCAGAATCAGCTTAAACTTCGTCTCTCTGCTTCCATTCTTTCTCTGCTGGTTTTTGTCCAACTAAATCTGGTTGTTTCTGGTTTATTTTTGCCCCTTTGTGCTGATTTTAAGACAATTTTTGGTTTATTTATGTGTTATTTTTGTTATTTTTCCGGAAAAAATGCTGAAATGTGACAATTCGATGTGCCTTTGGAATTTGTTTATTATTTTTTCTTGTAGTTTGTTCTCATAAATCAGCTTTAACTGAACTAACCTGATTAGTTTTTCCTGTTTCCATCTGTTAGGTTTAACTTCAGAGATTCTAACTGGTTCTGGACGCCTTCTCATGAACACAAAACAAAAAAATATCTTTATTTAGTTAATAAATCTGAGTTATTTCTGAGTTAAAGCCCAAAGAGGAGCAGCTAAAGGCTCCTTTTCCTCCAGAATCAGCTTAAACTTCGTCTCTCTGCTCTGATAGCAGCTTCCATTCTTCCTCTGATGTTTTTTCTCAGACTTTCTCAAACTAAATCTGGTAGTTTCTGGTTTATTTTTGGCCCTTTGTGCTGATTTTATGATGATTCTTAGTTTCTATATGTGTTATTTTGGTTATTTTTCTCTGAAAAAATGTTGAAATGTGACGATTTGATGTGCTTTTGGAATTAATTTATTGTTTTTTCTTGTAAATTTGTTGTCATAAATCAGCTTTAACTGAACTAACCTGATGAGTTTTTCCTGTTTCCATCTGTTAGGTTTAACTTAATAGATTCTAACTGGTTCCGGTTGCTTTCTAATGAACACAAAACAAGAAAACATCTTTATTTAGTTTTTATTCTTTATTTGGGCTTTATTTAGTTAAAGCCGAAAGAGGAGCAGCTAGAGGCTCCTTTTCCTCCAGAATCAATTTAAACTTCATCTCTCTGCTCTTGATAACAGCTCCCATTCTTCCTCTAACAGAGGAAGGCACTTTGCTCCTCTTTGGGCTTTAACTCAGAAATAACTGTGAGCAGCTTAACCCTTTAAAGCCTGATCCAAGAATAAAATTACTTTTTTTTGGTTCTAAATCTTTATTTGGCCTTTTAACGAAATATGTAAAAAGAAAAAACAGAAATATATTTTTGATATTAATAATTTATTACTATGCGATAGGTCAAGATTATTTTTTGTGTAGTCTTCTGCCCCCTGTTATCAGGTGTATCTGATTGTGTACAATAGGATTTTTGAGCAAAGTTTTTACCATTAAATTGTGCAAAAGGAGTCAGACGCAAAACATTACAGAAACCTTATGTATCAAATATGATACATTTGGCATTACAGGGTTAAAATTGAATAAAAATGTAAAGTGTGTGTAAAGTGAGTTAAGACCATTTGGAGAACGTCCTCGTTTCTGTTTTGGTTTCACACACTTGTGATGGAGTGCGTCCCCATGCTGGTGCCTGTGACCCTTCGGAGAGGTCAGGGACCCGGCCGGGGGGGGGGGGGCC